TTCTCATTTCCAGAGAAGTAGTTGGGCTAATACTCATTCCATTTAGACTGATTTGAAGAAACATTTCGAGAGGGAAAGTGCAAAAAAGGCTGCCACTTCTCCTATTTCTTCTCTCCTCTTCCTCGCCATGATAAAATAGAATTGTATTCATATTTTGTATGGAAGCTGACAGAAAAACGAGTGTACGAACAGATGGATAATTTTAATGCCTTTTTAGAAATAGCTTGAAGTTGGGAGAAAAATGCTTTCAGCTTTTTTGTAATGACTTTGTAAATATAAATCAAAGTAAATATAATGGTTTTGTAAATTTTTATTGAATTTTCAAGATTAAACACAGCGAAACTGTATGCATACGTAATGAAGTATTATGATTGTATTATTCAAAAGAAGACATCAGCGGCATCCTCTGCGAACGACCTGATGTCGTGCCTGAAATATCATAACCTTCTCGTACACTATCATTCCCATCATCAAAATTTTTGCAACCTCCTGAAGGGAATTTCATTCAGCTTAGGAATGCCACCAACAACACCAGATTCGATGCCGCATTCGTCGACTCCTCTCAAAATGCGGAAGAATCCTAAAAAATGGGCGTTCACCGATGTATTTACAATGGTAATTTTTTAAAATACTCTCATCTTAGTGGATTGCACCGCAAAAGATCCCAAAATATTTTCTGCTGTTTCACGGCTTATTTTAAGATCGTTTTTTTTTTGGGTTTTAATGAAACCCTTGCCTCTTACTAGGATGTTTTTAGCTCCTTATTTTCAAATCTTTGTTTTGTAATTTCATATGGTGCACAGTATATATTAAATAAAAAATTAAATCAGTAATTATGTAAGTTTTCCTCACCATCCTCTCCCCAATCTTCATTCCAGCTGTTGGCTATGAGCCAGTACGGCATACCCTGATCAACACCCCATCCGATCATCTTCACAGCATGTCCTCCACCGAGTCTACCAGCCGTATGCTAAAAATCGCTGCACTTTACGATATAGGGAAACTGTATTTGTATTGATTAGTCCTTCTATAATCTTCCTACATGCACTTTTTTGACTCTTTCCATTCTTGTATTTGGTATCTCACGTGAGATATTCAAATCAACTTTACAATCCATTTTAAAAAAGTGTCATTCTCGTTCGAAGCAGAGGATTTTGCATTATAAAATTATCGTTGGTAAAGAGATTCCAAATCCCCGTTATCAGAAGTCATTCCGCAGTTTCGCATTCCTTAGAATTTACTCAACGCTAAGCAGCACAACGCATGAGGCTGATGTTTTTGACAAAAACAACTTAGACTTATATCTTATTTTAGGAGACTTTATATCGATACTTCAAGATCAAAGTAGATATGAACTATTTTAGAAATTAAAGTTTAATGAGCCAAAAGTTGATTACAGAAAGATAGGTATTCACTATTTGATTATATGCAGAT